GAACGTTCTGTGATGACGGAAATGTTTTAGATCCTCACTGTCCGACACGGTTGCCACTAGCCACACATAGCTGTGAGCACTTGAAATGTAGTTACTGTGATTAAGGAAGTTATTTTTTTTATTTTATATCCTTTTCATTCATTTTGATTAAATGTGATAGCCTCCTATGGCTAGCAGCTACTTATTGCGTAGCGCAGGTCTAGACAACATGGCTCCTCTGTCACCACTTCCCGCATCCTGTTTCTCCTAGGGCCTGGCTCCAGGAGCTGACACTGAATCTTTAAGAAATGGGATACAGCCCAGCTGGTGTGGCTCAGTGGTTGAGCATCAACCCGTGAACCAAGAGGTCCCTGGTTCGATTCCCGGCCAGGGCACATGCTCAGGTGATGGGCTCAATCCTCAGTAGGAGGCATGCAGGAGGCAGCCAATCGATGTCTTGCTCTCTCATCAATGTTTCTGTCTCTCTATCCCTCTCCCTTCCTCTCTCTCCGAAAATCAATAAAAACATATTGTTTATTAAAAACACTTATAATACCAAGTGAAATTAAAACTATGTTCCAGTCCATGTGCTTGTCTGCAAACATAACCAATCTAGTTGACTTACACAACCAGACAAAAATGTTTTTCCAGGTATATAAACCCCCACAAATCCAACAGGGAGCCTGGAGAGTCAAGCCTGAGCTGACAGGGATAAATCTGATGCTCGGCCAAGACCTTGCATCAAGAACAGTCTGCCTAGGACGCCAGTGCTGGCCTTGACAACACTGGACACTCGCCACCACGCTGCAGGATTCTACTGTCCTTGGCCACTCTCCGATGGCCACTGACCTCTCAGGTCCACAGCGGCCACCTCCAATAATCGGACCGAACTCCTGCCATTGTGTCACCCCTTAAAAACCTGCCAGTGGTGGGAAGAAAATATCTCCCCCCCCCCCTTTGGGGTTCTATAGACACTGCCTTCTCCCCATTTGAGCACAGAGGAAGGACTCAGCGTAGCATTCACTTAAGTGCAAAGTTCCAATTTTATTTCCAAAGAGATCAGCTGTAGTGCAACCTGTAAAGAAGTGGAAGCAGAGTCAGAGTGATTTTCCATGCAGAAAAAAATGTTCTCTTAATTCTTTTCAATTTTCTGAATATGGTTTTTAGTAATTAATCATTAGCTCCTGAATTATAACATAGAATTGTACAATTATAATGTAATTATAATTAGGTATAATTACATATCATTTGTCATGAAGTTATAATTCATAATTTATAATTGGCTTGGTTAAGCTCACGGTTGATGCTATTGAAGTCTCTGAAAACACCGCAGGGGAGCTGGGCTGCTTGGTGTGCGCCTGCCATCTAGTGGCGGCAAGCGTTAATATGTCACAGAGAGACTCCACAGTGCTTGAAAAGCAAGGTTTGTCAGAGCTAGTTTTTCCCATTGTAGCAATTTTTCCAATGTTTTGAGCCAATTAACCATACAATCCTTAGAGTTTTGAAATGATCTTGCATTGTATTCCATTCCATCCTTGGCTAATTGCAAACTATAAATCTCTGAGAGGCACAGCGTGTCATGGCGCTGCGCCATCCCCACATTCCCTAACCCAGTTCCCTTTCTAAGACTGCTTTTATTTTACATGTGCCCGAAAACATGTGGTTTGGGCATATTATTATTCTCCCACAGAGACTATGTTGGCCAGAATTATAAATGTGCAATTATCTCTGGAATCATTGATGCGGACTGCTGACTTCCAATGGGATTTACACCCTCCCCCGGCCCCCCCTCTCCAAAAAAGAGTGATAGGTTTCCTTTAAGAAAACAATGAAAGAGGATCTATCCATATTCTCACCGACCACTCCTGTATGAATGGGAGAGCTGTAAGCCAAAGAGCAGGTCCAGACCTCAGTCTCATTCCTGCCAGGCCTGGTGAAATTCAGAAGGCAGCATTTGCCACACACCACACCCTGAGAGTAAAATCAGAACAATTTATCACGTATCTGAGAGAAATAAAAGTGACCTTATACTTCAAAGATGCAATGCATCCCTCTAAGAACACTTTCAAAAGGAAGTGTAACTATCAAACAAGGGACCTGGTAACGTTTCTGGGAGGTTGGTATAGGCGGCATGAATGGAAGTCTATACTCCCTAAAGAGGGTGGATCCGTGGGCCTGGCCGACTGCTATTCTTGATTCGGACTATGAAAGGGAATAAGTGGAAAAAATTTAACCTGGATCTGGGAGCAGGAGGGAAATTTGGAGTATTAACCGTGACAGTGAGATAGGTTTGAGGTTTGGGGACAGAAGTGTGTGGGGAGCTGGTTCAAAGTCCACCGTGGCTAGAGGGAGAACAAGATCAAGTTCCCTTCCTGGGAGCAGGGACTGACAATAAGGGTCTTTTCATTTTCAGAGGTTAATGACTTTCACAAATTCCTGAGTGGGTGGAGCATCCAGGCAGAGGCCTAAGGATGGAATTTCGGTCCTAAGGGACTGGGTGGGCCAGGTGAGGGGGCCAGTCTCCTCTTCTCCGATTGTCCCCTCCCCCTCCCCCTGCCTGGCCATCCCCTTCCTCCTCTTAGAGTTGCCCTCTCTTCCTCTGTGTTGGCTGACTCTCTTTTTCAAAAATGGCTGTAGCAGTTTTATCAAAATGATTACATGAAAGTCACAATTTGTTGTAACTATTGAATATCTAAAATTAGTGAGTTAACCTTCTATACTTCTCTCTAAAGAGGAGGTCTCTGGTGACATTTCTTCTTAATTGACCATGATCCCCAATTCCTAAAAACTAAAGTCATTGTTCCACTCTCACCAAAGCCCGCTATTTAGAGAGATGACATGTGCATGCATGCTCATGCCTAATGAGTGATTATGCAGAGATGAATCCTGTCCTCATGTGGCTTTTGAGACAATTCTGTCTGAGCTCCACCTTTTCTAAAGGATAAGAGTGGTACCCTTGGAGAACTCAGTAATGGAAGTACTCTTAAAATGGTTAAGGACAGGTTGCAATTATTCCACAAATATTTAGAACTAGAGGCCTGGTGCATGAGATTCGTGCACTGGGGGTGGGGGAGGGGGGCTCCCTCAGCCAGGGGCCCTCTCACAGTTCAGGAGCCCTCAGGGGATGCCTGACATCCTTAGCACTGCTGTGGTGGTGAGAGAGGCTCCCACCACCACTGCTGCACTCGCCAGCCATGAGCCTGGCTTCTGGCTGAGCGGCGCTCCCCTGTGGGAGCACACTGACCACCAGGGGGCAGCTCCTGCATTGAGCATCTGCCCCCTGGTGGTCAGTGCGCTTCATAGAGACTGGTGGTTCTGCCGATCGGTCGATTTGCATATTAGCCTTTTATTATATAGGATAAGTATGAACAATGAAGTCACATTTCAGATAACGAATAAAAATGAAGCCTCCTCCAAAGATGTTACACTGGCATATTCTTCCAAAAAAATTAAAAATGTGAAAAGTGTGTAGAATGTTACTGCATTTCTGACCTCAAGACCCTGGCAGGACAGGAAACTGTAGCCTCCGCCACAGAAAGAGGCACAGTTTGCCCTGCCTCCCCCTCTGGGAATCAGATCCCTTCCTTTTCATTCCGGATGAATCTGGAGTGACCTTCAATCACGGATTTGCTCATCTCTCTGAGGGTGTTCCAGGCCTGCGAGGGACTTTTATTTCTTGTTTTCAGTATTTCCTGACCGGGAACATAAGATTAACATCCATGGGAGAAGTTAGGATTTTCGGGGACGTTACGTGTTTATACTCATCTACCCTGCAGGGTATAACCAGTAGAGGGTAAATGGTGCTACAACAAAATAAAGCGATTCCCGGGGACTGACATTCTTTTCATTTCAATTATTTCAAGCCCCACAGAAACGTGACTGACATTTTCTATGCATTTTTGAATAGATGTGCGCAGGGATTTGGGACTTGAGTCTAATATAGTAGCTATTTGGGTCTAATATAGGGGAGAAGATTAGCTTGTTTAATCCAGTCACAGAAAGATAACCACAAACTCATAAGAGCTTAGATTTCTTTGGCTAAATTTATGCAAATCAGTGCTTTTTATTACTCCTACTTTATCTTTTCATCCTGCAGATGCAGATGCAGTTCATTCACTAGGGCGGCTCTGCGGTGTCAGTATACATACACCCACCAGTGTTCATTTAAATTGTTTATACAGAGCAATTATGTATATAATTCAGATCCACTACATTGACTGACTTGTTCATAATAAGATGAAGGGGAAAAAGAAACTCTCAGAAGCACGTGCATTTTCCCCGTTTCATCATCGTAAGTCCATGGCTTTGGTCTGACTACTCTGGGGTCCCTCCCAGGACTTCCAACAAGCGCTTGGGAACCAGCTGTGCAGCGGGCGGGGCACCGGAACGGCCGGGGAGGAGGACGCGGGACCCGGCTCCCCGCGGGGCCCTGGGCGCGGTCACTCTTCTATTCGGTAGGAGTTCGAATCCTCAGGGCGAATCATTAGTTTCTCACTCCCGCGGATTCTCCACCCAAAGTGCCTCGTCCTTAGCCCGCAGCCCCACTTCGGGGCGTGGAGGTGCGCCCCGATCCGAGCCCGCGGTCTCCCTGGAGGGAGCCCCGCCCGCACGCGGGGAGCCCCGAGTGGGAGACGGTTTCCCCGCCGGAGGGCCTGGCCGCGGCGCCCACAGACTTTCCTGGGGCGCATGGACCGGGCGGGCGACTCGCGCCCCACCGGCCTCGGGGCTGCGCTGCCGCCTCCCCTCCCCGCCCCTCCCTCCCCGGGCGGCTCTGCGCGCGGGTGGCCGCTGGGCTCCCGGCTGCCCGAGCTGCGGACGCCGCCCCGCCTCCCAGCCGGCCCCCGAGCGGCGCCTCCTGCCCCGCGGGGTCTGCCTCCCGGTTCACGGATCGGAGCCCCCGCAGGCCCACGGGGGCGCCCTAAGCGCACAGCCGCCCGGGGCGCAGCGCGCGGGGCGGGGGAGGCGGGGGAGGCGGCGGGGCGGGGGCGGGGGCGGGGCGCGGGCTCCATCGCCGCCTCCTCGCCGCCCTCCGCGCCGGCTCGCCCTCGTCGCAGCCACCGCTCGGCCGGGCTGAGCACCCGGGAGTCCGCGGCGCCGGCGCGGGGCTGCGGGATGGGGAGCTAGCGCCACGGCGGCGGCAGTGGCCGCAGCGCAGCCTCCCGCCGCCCCCGGGCCCGCGGCGCCGGGGACGCCGGGCGCGGCCAGCCCGCCGGGGAGCCAGGCCCGCGGGCGGCGGCGCCGGGCAGGTGGATGCGGCGGGAAGATGGCGCCCTCGGGCCCGGGCCGCGTCCGGCGGCGGTGCCGGCGGGTGCTGTACTGGATCCCCGTGGTGTTCATCAGCCTCCTGCTCGGCTGGTCCTACTACGCCTACGCCGTCCAGCTGTGCGTCGGTGAGTGCGCCCCGGCCGCCCCGGGACCCCCGGGAGCCTGTCCGCCGGCCCCGCGGCCACCGCCAGCCCGGGGCCGCCGCCTCCCCCTCGCACCTCTCGGGCGACCGTTACACCTGCACCCCCACGCGCACGCAGCCCGGAAACCCCTTCGCCTTCCGCTCCCCGCTGCGGCCGCGGCCACACCTCCGACCACCTGGCGGGACGGTGCGGGGACCCTGGTGAGGCGGGGAGGTGGCGCTGGAGGCTGCGGGCTCCACGCCGGGCCGGGACCAGAGCCGCACCTGGCCGGAGCGGGGGGTGGCGGCTCGGCCTCGGCCTGGGTGTCACCGCGGTCCCTTGCTGGTTGCCCGTAATCCACTTTTTTACATGTTCCAACAGCACTCAGGTTTTGCTGCCTTTGTAGTGTGAGGATTAGCAGTTGGACACTCGAGTTGCCAGGAGGTGGGGGCGGGGGGGGGGGGAGCTACTAGAAAGTATTTTCTGAGCCAGATGCACAATTGGGATGTTCCAAAAACAGGAGAAAAGAGGTGGGCATCCGAGCATTATCCAGAAAGCCAAGGGGCTGCAGTCCGAGCTGTAGGCTCCTGAGTGGTTGGGGGGGTACTTTCAGTGCTGAAGATCTCAAAGTAAAGAAGTTGATTTTGCACAGTTAGGGACTCGTCACGGCCCTTGCTGTGGCAAGCAGGCTGCTGCGGTCAGAGGCTTTGTGAAAGCCGATTTGGGCTGTCGCCAGCCAGGGACTTGTGAATGCTTCTTGTGTTGGGTGTCACACCTAAGAAAATGTGGATGTTTTTGCCGTGGGGAGCACTGACTGGCCCTAGGAGGGGCAGGGGGAAAGGTTAAATAGTGGCCTGTGGAGTTGAACCTTCTCAACATAAGCATATTCCCAAAGTGTCAGATTCAAACTTGCCCAAGGAAGCATCTCATCTCAAAATGTTGCCCCTCGTGAGAAATCGGAGGTGTCAGAGTAATACACAAAAAAACAGTGACCGACATAACTTATAAGAGAATTGGGACCAACTTCCAATTCCATGTAGCTTTAAAAGGTGACCTTGTTCCTCTGTGTGTTGAATTTAGAAATGCTACTTCAGTACCAAAAAGTGAGTCTGTTCTTTACAAGGGGTCAGGTTGTGCGGAAATTGGGAAGACAGTGCGTCTAACAGTGTATTACAGTCATCTAGAATGTGTCGGAAGAAAGTTTTCAGAAACATGTCCGAGTTCTGTATGAACTGTCAATATTAAGACGGCTTGCCCTATTGAGACACACTGTATGTGTTACGTAACAGTTGGGAACCTTTGTGGTATTTCATTTCTTCACCCTCGTAAAAGCAGCTGTTCCCATTAATGTAACTGCAAAAGAGGGAAGTCCCAGGAGGCGCTGATTATCAGAACAGGCAGCTTACTCTCCTGTATTAGCATAGGAAGCCGAGAGGCTTAGCCTGAGACCTGTCCCCCGTGTGTGATGGTGTGTGATGGCTTGGGAGGGCTTTCCTTCCCCTGCAGCTTGCCCTGCCCTTGCCTGAGGTGCGATGTGGAAATCTTGCCGCAATGAGTAGGCAGGTGATGGGGCGGAACTAAGTGGAAAATTGCTATTATATCTGGATGATACTTAAAAATATTTATATTGTTACTGATTTCAGAGAGGAAGGGAGAGGGAGAGAGGTAGAAACATCCATGATGAGAGAGAATCGCCGATTGGCTACCTCCTGCACGCCCCCTACTAGGGATTGAGCCTGAAACCCAGGCATGTGCCCTGACCAGGAATCATACCATCACCTCCTGGTTCATAGGTCCATGCTCATGGGCCAGCCCGGCTGGCTGATATTTTTTATATACGGGGTGGGCAAAAGTAGGTTTAAGTGGTGAACATGCGGAACAGATTTATTCTTGTGTTCCTGTTTTCATCACCTGCATGTCTTTTTACTTACAAACTGTAAACCTACTCTGAATATTTTGTGTTTAAGATAAATCTAAAGCATCCCTGACATCCACATCACTGTTTTAGTAGGCGAACATTTGACCAAGAGGGAGCATGCGTCTTTTTAAGCTGCCTAAGTGACACGGCTGGTTATTGATAGCCGGTGATCGCAAGTGAAGTCTTGGACCACTTCCCCTCTTCCTGCCTCGCCTGGGACAGTGCCAGTCACGTTGAAAGCAATCAATAAATGGTTTTGACTGAACCAATAAATGATTCAGAGGCAAAATCTCTGAGGTTGTCAGAAAGTAGTTTTTATATTTCCATTGCTATAGAAACAAATAGTAAGTAATTGTATGAGAGGTCTGGATCCCAGAGTCCGGAAGACAGAACAAGTGGGAAATGAATTTGATTCCAGAGCCGGCGGCAGCGTGGGAGTGGTCCGTTCTAAAGGCTTGGGTAACGATGGTTGAGAGGGAAGTTGACCTTGGCTGTGCTGTGCCTCTGTAAGCACAGGGAAGATGGCAATCCGTGTGACAGACACGCAAAACCAGCCTCCTCTCCTTTTCACAAACAAAGCAAATGGGAATGCCAGCCTTCCCTGCCCACCCACCCCCACCCCCCATCCCAGCTTTAATCACATCTCCATTTACCCGGCCCTTTGTGGATTCTTTTGCTCTTGGAAGTTGCTATTCATCATCAGATTTTCCATATTTCACCTATTAAACATCAGCCAGGGTTGGGACCAGAGAGCTGGTGGGGGGGTGTGTGGGGGGGGTGTCGGGGGCTGGGAACTAGACTAGGCAACAAACAGAATAGAACAATCAGGGCAATGTGCCTGCTCCTCCTCCTGCATCTGCTCTCAGCTGGGGATGACCCTGAATCTAAATTACTGTGTGCCCTTTGCTGAGGGAACTGCAGTTAGGAGTAGTGCTTATCCTGGTATCCTTGGAAACGGGAGATAATGATTCTCATTACAGTTCGTTTCTATATTTAACAACGTCGATGCATGTGGCCCTCCGGGCACCTTTTCAGTTAGCGTAATGTTTGCATGTTATAAAAATAAGCTCACATCTCTTCTTGGAATGTGTGTATATAAAAACGTATACTGCATGAGGATCAAGTGTTCCGGGTAAGCTTCCTTCCTGTTCTCCCAGAGAACCGTTCTGAACACGTTTGTCTGGTTTGTTGATTAACTAGGCTCCTTTATTCGTCTTATTTCTTCCCCTCTTTCCTTTCCTCTCCCTCCTCCTACTCTCTCAACCCTAGCTTCTTTTGTCTTAAAGTCCTTTGATCCCTTTAATTATTAGTTAGCTCGTTTCCCATAAAGTAAGATAAATTGAAAGGGTGAAATTTGTAAGCTGGTACTTTAGGCTACAGAATTAGAGGGAGTCAAGGTTGTCTGCAGCCTCAGGCAGGCTTGGGTCAGTGGACAGCCTAGACAGGGTTTAAAGGTTTTACAGATCCATTATGGGAGACATTGGATTGACTTTGCTTGTTGAAGAAGGCACCGGAAGTTTTCCCTTTTCAAGGCTAACTAACATTGAAACTTGTTTGAACTCTTATTTTTAATCTTTTTATTTTGTTGTACTTTCAAATTTATAGAAAAGTTTCCAGAATAGCACCAGAAACCTGCACACAGACGCCCTTGTTTAACCATGCGTCATTTTCTCTTGTGCTTGATTTAATCTCGTGTTGCTTTGTGCAGTCACACGCTGTACAGGCTTGTAGCCGAGGAGCAGTAGGCTAGACCGTCCAGCCTCGGTGTTTCGGAGGCTGGACCATCTCCTACGAGTAGGCTCGGGTGGGTGAGCTTTCTGATGTTTGCACAGTGACAGAGTGGCCTGGCATTGCATTTCTCGGAAGGTATCGCCTCATTGAGCGGCACAGACTTCTCAGCTCTGCTGTTGGAGCAGAAAAGCAGCCTGAGACAGCGCTTGAGCAGATAGGTGTGGGTGTGTTCCAGTAAAGTTTTAATTACACAAATACTTGGCAGGCCAGGCTTGGCCCTTGGGCAGTAGATTGCTGACCCTGGAGTAGGTTAGACGTTAGCTCATTAGAATATGGGGCTTTTACTCACAGTGTGCAGTCTTACCAATAAACATCTCTACCAGGATTGCAGCAGCCTGTATTCCGCAGTGATTATGGAAGATGTTTAAGAACTAGTCTACATACTTGGGGATCAGTTTAGGAGATACACAAGCATGTTTTCCTTCTTTTAAACAAACAAATATCCTTAAGGATAAAATATATAAAACCTCATTCTTGGATACTATTAAGCTATGATCTACAACAGGAGTCCTCAGACTTTTTAAACAGGGGGCCAGTTCACTGTCCCTCAGGCCATTGGAGGGCCGGACTATAGTTTAAAAAAAAAAACTATGAACAAATTCCTATGCACACTGCACATATCTTATTTTGAAGTAAAAAAACAAAAACGGGAACAAATACAATATTTGTATTTGCGTGTGGCCCGTGGGCCGTAGTTTGAGGACCCCTGATCTACAAGGTCATAGCAAGCTCAAGGATGGAGACTGAAGGGGGCTCTAAGTTGCCTTTTTTCTTGAAACTAGAGGTCCAGTGCACGAAATTCATGCAAGAGTAGGCCTTCCTTCCCCCGGCTGCCGGCACCGGATTCCCCCTGGCACCTGGGACCTGGCTTCCCTAGCAGCCCTGGCTGGGCTTGTTTCTGAAGGACGTCCAGTGTAATTAGCATATTACGCTTTTATTATTATAGATCAATTTGAGCCACGCAGAGAAAGCAGTGTGTTCTTGGTATTGGTAAACTATCCTTTACAAAATTATGCAGAATATTAAACCTTTTTAAAGAAAAATACAGACAGGTGATCGTGGGAACACAAATTACCATCTATAATTATTAAAATAGTCTTAAATGAGGTGGATGGAGGGCACATCCATAGGAAACGATGTATGTAAAACACTAAGACATTTTTTCTTGTTGACTATCATGATGCAAAGAATATTACTTCTGTGACTTTTCTGGATATCAAATATTTTGGAGATTTTAAGTTCTGTGAGTATATCTTGAAGTGTCTAAAGTTCAAATGTATAAAATATATGCTTC